TTCATATCGGACACGCCAAATCTAGCTATCTTTGCAGATGCTAGTGAAATCGCAATAGCGGCTAGTGCTTCCATCTTCAATGAAAACTATTCAGAATTGGCAATGGCGAGGTGTAAACGTCCCACCATCAAGTCGAAAACAACGATGCCAAAATTAGAAATGTTTGCCCTCACTTTGTCAATGCGATTGGTGGCTAATTCGATGACACAAGCACTAGAGGAACGCATCGCGGGCTATCCATGGACTATTCACGTATTCTCGGACTCCCAAATCGCGTTGAGCTGGTTAACATCCCCAACCACTGCTAGCCTCGGAGTTTTGGTTGCCAACAGGGTTCGAGAAGTTCGGCGAATCGTCACACAATTGAACAACGATTCGATTACAGTCATTTCCAGATATGTGAATACGTCACGAGACCCTGCAGGAACAAGAGGACTCTCAAGAGAACAAATGCACGATCGCTATTTGTGGGAAAGACCAGAGTTTTTGAAGAAACCAATAGAGGAATGGCAGCACCCAATCTACCAGCTCTGGGAAGACGTAATCGGTGTCGACTCCTGGGCTTTGACCAACGTCAACTTCACCTGCGGACAAGATGAAGCACCTTACGCGCTCATGGACTTCTGCCTCTATTGACTATCCTCTATTGACTATTTGGCACTCAAAAGGGAGAATGGGAAGTTCTCGCTCAACCCCGACACCAAAGATCCCATCCTTATCACGTGAAACACGGCTCTCGCACAGCTTATCATACAGGAAGCTCATGGACCGTACCGTAGAGGCACTGAACATACGATAGCTAGAGTAAGAGAGCGCTACTGGATTTCAAAATTGAGACAACAAGTCCGCGAGCACGTCAGTCACTGCATCAAGTGTCGACGTTTCAACGCTTTGCCATATCAATATCTAGACTTCACAGAATTACCGGAACGACGAGTGCTGAAAAGCAATCCCTTCCAACACACTGAACTCGATTTTTTTGACCTACCACAGTGCGAGAAGAATGAACGTGGGATAAAGCTGTACGGCTGCATCTTCACCTGCACCGTTACCCGCCTCATACACCTTGGAATCGTCCGAAGCCTGGCAATCGAAGAATTCTTGAACGCGTTGCGACGCTTCGTAGCATGTCGAGGCATACCGAAGACTATCACATGCGATAACGCTACGACTTTCCTGCTTGCCGCAAAAATCATAAAAGAGCGGAACAGTGGATTAACCGAACACGCCGCTCAAATCGTTTCAAACCAAGAAATACAGTGGAGGCATATAACACCCTACGCACCATGGCAGGGAGGATTTTACGAACGTCTGATCAAATCAGTAAAACAAGCAATTAACAAGGCTTGGAGGAACTCGGAAACCTACTCCCTTGTCTATATTCACACATTTCCAATTGAAGTGGAAGCCTGTCTTAATTCCAGACCCCTCACGTATCAAAGCGCCGAACAAGAAGAATTTACAACGCTGCGCCCGATCGATTTTCTTCAACGTGATCTGAACCTCAGCATCACATTAGGTAACACTGAATCGGAAACACAAGACCCGGACTATCTTCCTCCGGACAGCCTTCATGGGATCCAAACTCGACAACAAGCACTGGAGGCCCTCAATTCGTCACGCCGAAGAATCGAACGCTTCTGGAAGATTTGGCAACAGCAATACTTGATATCTCTTCGAGAATCCCATAAGAAAAACCCCACAAATCAACGTCATGGCGGCATCACGCCATCACTAGGAGATGTAGTGTTAGTAAGCGACCCAGTGCTTCCTAGAAATGACTGGAAAATGGCTCGTATCACAGGACTACGTCAGGGCATCGATGGAGCCATACGAGAAGCCGAATTAATAACCGCCACCAGGAGGAAAAACCGTCGTCCAGTCAACTTACTCATTCCACTGGAACTTCAAGATCCCGAACAGGAAGTGAGCATATCAGAGCACAAGGAAGCGCCACCAGAGCAACCTGCTCCACAACAGCCCCCTCGCACGCATAACTACAATTTGAGGGAAAGAAAGGCAACACGCCACGTTCACAATGCAACCACCGCAATAAGCACAAGGACGACAAGAGGGGTATGGTTCCTGCTTTATATAATGGTTCTGAACCTTCTAAACATTGCCCATGGCAACTCCACGGAAGGAGTGCACGTCTCATGTGGCGACAAGGGAGTTATGGTTCATGCACAACAACGGCAGACCTGAAATTTGCACTGAACGTCTCTGCGAAGTCCGACACATGGATACCGCTCCGCTTCTTATCAAATTTCCGCTGGACATCACCATACGAGACTACAGAGTTCTCGTCAAATGGAACGTTGAAAACCACTCGGCAACAATGGAAACACGATGTAAGGGCTAATATTTTTGCAGCAACATCGACTGCAACATCTGCTCGTCAATTCTGCTCAACCCGGAATGCTGGCCACTAGGCGCAATCCCAACATTCACACTATGCCACTATGACATCATAGCCCTAACCTACACCTGTCTTTATGTTCCCATAACAATTGGGAAGCCCATACGTATCGCCGGCGGTATTATTCTTAAGCTGACTGTCATTCTGGCAAAGACGCTATACTGCTGTATTCGAGTATTGCGACGCAATCGACGACGAGCGAGAGGAAGAAATGGCACCCTAAATATGACTTCAGCCCTAGCTACGGCTCTCGCTCTCCTGTACCTGGTTCAGACCACCCGCAGTTGCCAACACGTGAACGTTCTCGAACAAAGTCTCACCACGTGCACACAAGAAAACGGCAAAGAGATATGCAAAACTTCACTGTTGGAAGTATTGAAAAATCGACAGCATTCGACAGCAAGCATGTCGACTCGTGAGAAACTCGACACTGGTGCTTAATATAAAAATACGCTGGGAAGGACTGTATCTCCACTGCGACCAGAAGACATTATATTTCACACGCTCCATTCACTTGAACGTGACGGACAGTAAACGATGCCAACGGATGGGCTCCTGTAAGGGAGAAAAGTGCGCAGGCATCAACAGCTCCAGCATCATTCCAGAGCTGAAACGCGGGAACCACTTTCCAGGGCGAACTGGATGTTTTGAGTCCTGTGGTGGATTCGGCTGTGACTGTTTTTATCCCAGCTCCGGTTGTCTATTTTATAGGATTTTTGCTACTCCAGCGGACAACAAAATTTTCGAGAAATTCCGATGTATGCGATGGCGCGAGAAGACCATGTTTGAAATCACCATAGAGGGCACCAGGGCCAAACTCGGAAAAGAAAGCTATGACGTGCAATTATTACCTAATATGCCAATCACCTTACCGTCCCTTCAAACAACAATGACCTCCCTATCGTTACGCGCCAACACCAGCGTTAAGCAGTACGTTCTTCACCGATGGACAAGATACTGCAATATGGACAGGCGCCGTTTCTCCAAATTTGCTCTGCGAATCACGTGAGGAAGCGGAACGAATGAAGTGTATCCTAGCCGATGACTGTAACTGCGCTCCGGCTGAATTTAAAATATCCTGCCAATGTACAACGCCAGATATCACCAAAGAATTCGACCAACTTCAGCTCAAAATACCGAAAAAGACACCCTTTTGGGAGCTTCGATATCAGCAGAATACGTCATTAGTTGCCAAAATACCCCACATGGTGTCATCTGAAATCATTGTTGAATTCCACCGAACATGGGACACAACAGTCATAGAAGAAGGAGGCGGCGATTGCTTGGTGGAAGATAGCTTACTTCAGGGATACTACCATTGTGCGGTTGAAGCAACTTAAAAATTCGATGCGCCTCATCGAAGGAACTCTTCGGCGAGGTGCTATGCGCCTCACACACATTTGTGATTCACTGCGCTCCCCACGGGCCGGAATCTGAATTACGACTTCACCTTGACTCAGCCCGACAACTCATACACTGCACAATTTCATGTGGCCAAACAAAAAATGAGTTTGCACTGAGGGGAACACTCAAATATGTCAATACCTTCCACAACCCGGATCTGACATCATTGAAGTCGAACAGCACCATCTTCAACGGGTTCGAATGGCCGGATTTTGGCCATATAATGGACATCTTCTTGACCTAGTATAAAACCTTCATCATTGTGCTGATTGCAGCCGCAAGAGTTCTCGGATTGATTTATCTATACGGAAGCACTCTCGGGATAGGCCTCCTTAAAATAGCTTTCCGGCTCCTGTGGATAATCACTTGTATTCCACCACGAGCAGTCCAAATGATGGTATGTGCCCTTATGAAACTCTGCAGGAGCAAGCAAACTAAATATAAGAAAAATACTTAGAATGGTCGACGACATCCACCGTTTTAGAAAACTGTCACAAAAAAATGTACATATGTATATACTCATGTGCCCATACTCCGACAACTCTTGAATGTACAAGCCGGTGGAAGAGACGCCCTATCAACAAAAAAGCAACACAATAATTTCAGACCGTGGAACAACTCCAACAACAACTCCAAGAAACTAAAGATCAGCTGCAGAGACTGCGCGAGGCCATTCCGCTTCCATCACCACACGAAGTGTATGCGAGTATCATCAACGAATATTTGGAAGTCGACCGATGCGCCAAAAAAGTCGCCTCCATATCCAGACACATCCAAATTATAAGCCGGTCGCAAACGTCGCTGGAATGCAAAGCACGTCGCATTTCCATCATTTTACTCAAGATCGAAAACCTTCGCATGCGCCTGGCTGCCACCAAACTTCACTTGACCACATTAGTGGCCTTACCTCCACTCCTCTTCGCCACTGGAGCGATCGCAAAGCCACTTTGGGACGAATGGATGGCTCGACCATTTTGCAACGATGAGAGGAACCTCCTGTCAACCGACCCCGATAGGGTCAAAATGGGAGCAAAAGAGCTAATGGCAACTCTCGATAGCCACAAGGCCAATTTATCAGATCTCGCGAATCACTTCAGTTGGAACAATTAAAAGAAGAAATCTCATTCCACGACGAAGTAAGAAACGCACTCAAGAGTATACAAGAAACAGACAGAAGAGACAGACAAACTCGCAGACCAGCCCGGGAGGAGCGCCGCCGCGCAACAATGACACTAACAGGACCGGCCCGAGGAACCGCATGAAAAAGAGAACGACGATGAAGAGCTCGAAAGTGATGAACCAGAATCAGACGGAGAAGACATGAGGAACGAAGAAGCTCCGCGCGCGATTGAAATGGGAAATGAGCAAAAAGAAGTGGTGCCAGCTCAACGTTCGAGGCACGTCATAGAAGCGGAGTTACACGAGGAACATAGAGCGTCAAACCAGGTAGCCAGGATCATAGAGGACTTGATGAGTCTCCCAACATGTCCCCCGCGACGCCTTGGCGGCGGACTTCCAAGATCGGTAGCTCTGCGAAACCCGCCGATCAAATGCGCCTTCTGTCGGGCGACCGGATTTCACCGAGCGAACGCATGCATTCATGTGAGATCGGTTCGGGAAAGACGCATACTGCTACAGCATCAGAAGAAGTGCGGCCGCTGCCTGGAAAAATGTTCTGGGAATTCTACGTGCCGCAAGTGCTTTTATTGCACAAAAGATGGTCACAATTCCGCGCTCTGCGAATTGCCTGATCAGGTGTTGGAAATCTGCACCAAACCGGAAAAGGCGCGAAAGCAGGCGGACCGCCACTCCCAACGTCGTCGTCAACGTGTTAACGCCACTTCTTCGTTACCTTTCCACGATACTACATTCAAGTTCGGTTGAAGCGCTCTATTTGACCTCTCTCGCCTCTCAAGTCGGTTCTCCAATACACTCTCCTCGCTGATATTAGTACATGAAGGTGTGACAGTTTAAGTCATGAAGCTATCTCGCGAAGATGATATCTTAATGCGCAAGGCTCTGGAGACATTGCAGACACACGACGAAAAATTCAAAAATGAAAAGAAAAGACAAATGCGCGACGACTACTAAAGAGCTGACGACTCTCGCAGACTTGTGTGCCTCTGATCTACACAGTCGATGTCTCGCAGGAGCCCGAGGCAGGAACTCACGGTCAAAAAATATACAAACTCTTCAAAAATCAATATCAAAGGCGATGCGCAGTCATCGGCTGGGAGTTGACCTGTGGGCAACCGCGGTTATTAGCTTTTACCTTGAATGAGGGAGAGGTCCTTGTAACTTTCTCTAACCCGAGTCCTGGGTTCAAAACTCGTACTAAATAGAGAGAGGAACTTTGGTCTGGGTGCCAACAAACAGCTCCACTAATACCAGAGGTGAGCCTCAGCGCTTTTCTTTCTCAGCCGTCAAAATATCTTTCTGTAACTTGAGAAGGAAAATATAATATAATCACATTAATGCACTTGACTTACAGGCTCCGAAGAAGGCGATTCAGCCAAAACGACAGCCGTAAACTGAAGTTATTACCTATTTTGAAGGATATGTCAAATCCACAGATATTGCTTACACCACGCCGAGATTCATGGAGAGTGGCAATGGAATGATATCCGCCTACACAACCTTGATATTTGCTCTGACAAAGCCGCTTCCTTTGTGTCTTCTTCTGCCCCATGACTGCAACTCATTTTACATTTTCTTTTCGGAGATCAACACAAGTTCCCATTACCCCATGTCCGTCATCTTTACCATACGTCACAGCAGTACATCTTTTCCTCCACTCTTCACTCGATCAACCTTTCAGCTTCCTTCCTTTCTTGGAAAACTCAACAGCTATCGTAATCTGTGCTCAGGGGCAAGAAGCCGTCGTGATCTCAACCCTCATCGGATGAAGCAGTAGTATTTTTCACGAGCGTTGAGGACCTTTCCAGCCCCCTTCGGAGTCTCGCCAGAAAGTGGTTTTGCTTGCCATTTTGTCCCGGCGGACGCTTCACTGTAATCCTATAGTGATGAGCTCGTTTTGAAAATGCAGGAAAGGTATACGTCAAACACGTCCTCATTCTTACATGATCTTACTGCACTTGACCACCAGTCACCCTCACGAGTCTCGAACTTAGATTATTAATACGAGGGACAACCACGAGCCACCCCTCATCTTTGCATGTATATCGTCAACTGAAAGTTTTGAATTTCCCAGGCTCAACAGGTACTTATTCCCGCGGTGAAACTTCATGCAGAAATACCCTACCTTACAATTTTTCCACGCGAGCTACAATATCTCGACGGCACCACCGCTTTCAGCACCCGCTCACAACAGGTGAAGGACGAGAGATTGGCGATACATGCCCGTAGTTCAGATTTGATGTCTCTGACGTACCGGGGGCACTGTCTACCGCCAGTCCCTAGAGTCCCGGTTTTATATTAAAGACTGAAAAATCCCTCGATCGGTCCTGATCGTCTCGACCAGCACTATATCACCATACACTTCTAATCCATCGAGATTGTCAGTGGTCTCGTGTTTTCGCAGGTGCTTAATCTGGGCAAAAACTTTGATCAAGTATCTGGCGTGGATCCATCTTCGAGCGTGCAGCATTTTCCTAGGGTCTGCCTTGCAGCGAGCCACACGTACCGATCACCTGAGACCTTACTGTAATCTTCTCTTTCGCGCACTCACTATGATCGTGATTATAACTGATTGCTCTGAGCCCGTTTTTGGCATTATTCTTCTCTGTTCCTGCCTAATTCGACGCTGCCTTTCCCACCGTGCAGTGCTTGAAAGCTGCACATAGGCTGTTCCTAGGAAAGGCCCATAGTCATTTCATCCAGATCCAAACACATACTATTTCGGTGTCTTCTTTCCGAAACGTGCCACCTGCCAAGCGCTTTGAAAGCCCCTACTTTTATGAATGCTCACTAACCCCTCGCCCTGGTGCAATTTCCTCCCACGCACTTGGGAGAGGCAACCTTCCTTATGCCATTGGCTGTTTTTTGATCGTCGCAGCCGTTCCCCAAGCCCTCCTCTCTAACCAGGGACCTTAGTATTTCTGGTGAGGGTCGAAGTGGACTTTGTCGTTGAACTCCATGTTCAACCGCAGACGGCTGGAGCCCCACTCTATGAACTGGTTCCCCGTCAGATGCCGTCGCCTTCTCCGACAGCGAGGAATAAATGTAATATTCATTACCTACTCCTTGCAGGCTCTCGGCACTGGTAGAAAGCCACATTTCCGTCAAATCCCTCTGCTAATGAACGTGCTTCAATGCGTCGTTCCGGGTATTCGTGGGTCAGATCACTCCAGCGGCAGACCAAAGAGTGGTCACTGTAGGAAGGGGCGAGTTACTGCTAGAAGCACTACTAAAACCCTGGTCGGCGGATTAATTGATCCCTCACCTCAAATTGTGCTATGGTCATCGTTATCACGACGACGAATGCGACCGTTTGTTAAAAGGTGTCTTTCCATGATGAATTTCCTTAGCATAGTATGGCCCGTCATATATCTGATCCCATTGCGGCTGGCGGATCGACTCGGACTCCTATTGATTTGGATGGTGTCCTTTGAACCGTGGAATCACATTCGGCTATCAGTTAGATTAGGAACACCGTGGAGTTTGCCAAGCATTCAGGGAGTATCGGCGACTGCCTGAAAACTATCCAAGGGCCTCGACCGAGCCCCAGATATTTGACGACGGCAAAGATCTCATCGTATGGCCCGCATTCTATTCACGATGAACGCACAGTATCTTCTTTGCGGCGAAGAAATCACTGAAGATGAAACTTTTAACTCCACGAACCGCACCTGTTTATCATTGTAGGTTGCCTACGCGCCCCAGCCGTAATTCCCTTTATCCCCTCAATACTCTAGTCGTATCGACAGAACGCTCGTCGAAATTTCTAGTTCCATCCGAGTTTCGCATAAAGCGGCTCTTTTGCGGCACCTGGATGGGAGTCAAGCTCTCAAGTCCAACATTTTCATGGCGATAATAAGAATTCGAAGTCGCATTTATATTTATAAAATGAAGAAAAAATGTTAGGCGATATATGGACCAGGTAACGTTTAATATTCCCGGGAGAAAATGTTAGAGCTTCTTTTGACGAATCCATCGTAACCCTAATTTTGTTCCGGAGGCAGCTAAAAAGGAGAAGGGCGAAGCAAGTTCGGATTAGGTGCCAGCATACTCAGGAAGTGCTGTGTACATGTATTGTTTTGCTGTGCACATGTACTGTATACACAGCAAAACGAAGAGAGCAAAGCTAATTATCTGAAAGCTCTGATATATTTCATCATGGGTTGTTGTTCGAAAAAATGTGAGAGTACGTGAAGCGACCTAGTACCACAGAAAAAAAGAATACCGATGGAACGGAAAAGTTCAAATACCCCTAACTGAGGTTTATCTGTGACTGTGCATTGATGCGTAGTTGTTCCCCACTGCGAAGGGATCGAGGAGTTGTAAAAAAGGATAAGTATAAATATAGGAATTACGAGATAGAGTGTAAATACTAGTTCAATACTGCATTGGGCCATTCACTTGACCCTACCCTTCCCTTCGCCCTGTTCAGTATTACACATAATAAATTTTGTAGCAAGCACCCCCTAACCCAGTATGCCAAAAATGAAAACCAGTAAAACAGGCGTGACCCAGAGCACTACAAGCGCCCAAGCACAATGTTTGTCGAAAAGCAATCCTGAGTCTACCTGGAAGTACATATATCCAAAAAACAGACAAATAATGGAGATATAGGTACAACAGGTTACCATGAATTTTCTTGCGATATTTTGATCCTGATAAAGGATAAAGTTTTTGGCGTTGATCGATCCCGTCTGAGGGATGCGCGGATGACTTTTAACGATAACAAATATGTATGTTCGAAATCAAAAGTCATAATCCGACACTCTGAATGGAAGCCGGGTGCGGGGGCGTTTCCCTCAGACGGGATTCATCAACGCCAAAAACTTTATCCTTTTAATCGTTAGTTTTTGCTTCTGCCTCGAGGTTTGTAGGTGGAAATATTTATTACGGCCGACGTTTCGACGGACTCGTCGTTTTCAAAGGCCTGAAAGTGGTTCAAAGCGTGTTGATTGTACACTACCCCACCAAGC